GTACTCCATTACGAAAGGCTTAATTTTAAACTTCGGACGCAAAAGGGATTTACATTTTTTAACCTCCGTGGCAAATAGGGGGTTGGCTTTAAAATGATAATATAGATTAGAGCACGTTTTGTTTGGTACTGATTTATTTTTTATTTCGTATACCAAATAAAATGGTGTTCATGTAAAGCCCCAGAATAATATTATTCCTTTCACACTTCCATTAGTAGAAAAATATATAATTAGGGCATTTATTTGATACTTAGATGAGATAAAAAGGAGCTGGTAGAGGAAACCGTAACGTGGGATTACCTTCAAGGATGAAGTAGATTGAATGACGACCAATTGTTGCAGGGAGTTGAGAAATATAGCTGCGCGTACATTGTGAGAAAATATAAGAGAATTTTATTTTCAGTAGTGAATGATAAATGGATTAATAATTATAGTTATGAATGAATTAATGATAACTTTATTTGCTTGAATACATTAGAAGTAACATAAACAATATCTCTAAATTCAAACATGTGGTGTTTAGATATAACATGAAAATTTAAAGTTTTAATATTGTGACGTAATTGGAACAGAGATTATTTATTTTTTTGTTACTTAGCAAAGCTATGGTACATTAAAAAAATAAAGTGTTACTTCATTTTTTATATATAATATAAGCTTTTGATGCACACTTCAAAATGCAAAACAGTAGGGCCATGAAACCATAAACTGCACTGCACTGTACGGCGATTCAGTAAGTATATTAAATTACAGGTAATAAAAAACTTTACAATGGGTGGCAAAAACGTGTATGCTGTCCGGTACAGTGACGGGCCTGAGGGATGCCTGCGTGAACCGGCCTGTGATTTTATGCGACATTAAATTACGGATGAGGATTTATGTAAAGCCTCAGTTGGTGCGCCCACTGATGTGTGACGAAGTTAATGTTCGAATAATTTTGAAAAATATACCGGATACAATGTTAAATGTATGGTTAACAGCTGGATATATTCTGCGATATTTACTTTTCATTGTGTCATTTATATACTTATATCGAATATGTAGGTGTAAAACTAAATAACTCACTTTATTATCTCGAAATAATTGCCTTCTACTATTTTTTTACCGATTATTTTTTCTATCAAAATTATAAATAATTGGAAAATATTCTAAAAAACATCGACAAATACTAAATATAATATCTTAATAATGTATTACTACTGCAAAATAAGAAAAAAACAGTAAGCTTTATATAACTTTTATATAAGCTGAAAAGCTTAGCTTGCTTTACTAAAATAACTTAATCTTTTAGTCTGTTTATTCTATTATGCAAACATTTATGTGGAGGATAATAATATACTAGCCATGTCTGCAACTTCGTTCGCAAGGTGTTAACTGACTGGAATAAAAATACCCTATGTCCTTTTTTTATCTAAATAATACGTGTATACCAATTTTGATCAAGACTGGTTAACCTTTTAAGACACCAAAAACGTAAATGAACAAACTCACTTTACTTTTTACAGAAATTTGTAAGACTGCTGCAAGTTAATAAAGAACATCAAGATAGATACAGGAAATCAGCAGAAAAAAGAGTGAACTTTTAATATAATATAAACAGATTACTCCTTAATCTTCAACACACTTAAGTAATAATAAGTCGAACATAATCGGAAACTAGCTCCAGATGTACTGGCGCCGTATCAGAGCCTTTAAATTGCACAAGTTTTAAAATTAGGTCGAATTATACATCCCAAGTCGGATTCTTCTAAAGTTCCGCTGTCCGCCGCCCCAGCACCAATAAATTGTTCAAGGAGAACAAATAACTTGACTTAAGAAATTAGCTTCCACTAATTGTTGAGGAGGGAATAGAGTTTACGGATTAAAAGTTCCTTTTTTTGGGAAACGTAATTGTTAAGTTCATGGTCGTATAGTTATCGAATCATTTTTATTAAAAATAAGTTATATTTAATAGTGCAAAAAGATGAAATTATTAATTTTTATTAATTTTTTTTATAGCAATTGTTGTTTTATTTTATATACAAATCTTTTTGAACTAATAGGTAACAGCCATCCATTACTGGTTATTGCAAATTGATGCCTCAATGGACAAAGCTTATTTTCATGTATAAAAACAGAGTGACACGTTTATAGTGACATATTGCATCACAACAGATTTTTTAACGATAGTATAATATTTTTTAACATATTAATATAAAACTTGCAAATACACATATGAGTAAAAATTTTAATATTATAAATGCGAAAGTTTGTGAGGATAGACGTTTGTTACTCTTAAAGCGGATGATGTTAAGAGAGAATAATATTTGTAGAATGTAAACGTTTATTAATACAGTAATAATAGTAATATAATTGTAAAGAAGGAGAACAATAGAAAATATAAAAAAGGTATAATATTAAGACGATATGTGTGCCGTGGCGCCAACAACACATTCTTTTTTACATATACGCATGCGCGGCCTGCGCGCGCAACCCGTAGTCGCCGAGCGCCTGCGCGTCCTGCGCGCGCATAGGTACATCAAACAAGCTGCGTGCGCGACCGACCGTATTACATATATATATAAAATATTTACGCTTGTCTGCGTGTTTTTACAAAATAAATAAAATATATAATTTTATAAGTATGCTACATCACCCCCCTCCAGAGACCGTCTCACGGGGTAATAATATTTAGGGAAGTGAACAGTACGACCTGATCTCGTCTTGCGGATATCATTTCTTCCAGTTTTGTTAGGCGTAGTGTGTTGTGGCGAATTTGTGGAAGAAGTGTTTGTATTGTGTGTTGTGTTATGATTGTTTTGTGTGTGATTGCTTGATGATTGATTACTAGATGTGTGTGTGTCTGGTGTGGTTGTACTCTTGTATGTGTTAATGTCATGCAATATGTAAGCTGGCTTTATTCGGTCTATAGATACTGTGACAGGGTTATTACGTAAAAGTATTTTGAAGACTTTGTCTGTTCTTTCTAGTACTTCGTGTGGCCCAGTGTAAGCAGGTGTTAGAGGTCTGCGACAAGTGTCGTCCCGAAGAAATACGTGTGTGGCTGTTTTGAGGTCTTTATATACAAAAACAGATCTTTTGCCATGATACGATGTCGCTGTGGGCTGTAACCTTTTAGCGAATGAACGTATTCGTGACAAATAATCAGTTACATCTGGGATAGTACTTTCCTCGTATTGGAAGAAATCTCCTGGTAGCCTAAGTGTTTCTCCGTATGTAAGTTCGGCTGATGAAGCATGAAGATCCTCCTTGTATGCATTCCTAATCCCAAGCAGTACCAAAGGGAGAGATTCCACCCAATTAGAATTGGCATGACAAGTAATTGCTGCCTTTAATTGTCTATGGAACCTTTCTATAAGGCCGTTGCATGAAGGGTGATAGGCGGTCGTTCTTCTATGTTGGAAACCGATGAGTTTAGATAATTTTTTGAACAGGCATGAGTGAGACAATAGTATGAGGACAGCCAAATCGAGAAATCCATCCATTTAGTAGAGCCTTGGCCACTGCTTCAGCTGTGATATCCTGGAGTGGTATTGCCTCAGGCCAGCGAGTGAATCTGTCGATGGCTGTAAGGCAGTATCGATATCCTTGTGACAGTGGCAGAGGTCCAATAAGATCAATGTGAATATTACTGAATCTCGATTTTGGAAGCTTGAATGTACCCAGAGGTGAAGAGACATGACGAGTGACTTTTGATCTTTGGCAAGCCAAACAAGTCCTTGCGTATTCTCGACAGTCTTTTTTTATCCCTGGCCAGACGTACCTCTCTGCTACCAGTTTGGAGGTAGCATTTACTCCTGGATGACTAAGCGAATGAAGACTTTCGAATATTCGCCGGCGATATTTCATTGGAACATATGGTCTCACAGCATTGTCTTTCTCATCACAATACAGTTCAGACAGTGTACCTGGCAATTTAATCTTTTTTAGATATAGTGATGTGTTGCTGTTCAGTAGCAGCTGTAGTTCTGGATCGGATTGTTGTGCTTTCGCTAACAGCTCTAAGTCCACTGGTTGAACTATTTCTTCTACTCGTGAAAGGGTATCAGCTACTACGTTATTCTTACCTGAAATGTGCCTGATATCTGTTGAAAACTGCGAAATGAAGTCTAAGTGTCTGAACTGTCTTGGAGAGCAATTTTCCTTTCTTGAGTGAAAAGCGAAACATAAGGGTTTATGGTCTGTATAAATAATAAAGTCACGTGCTTCTACCATGTGCCTGAAATATTTGATTGTTTCGTAAGCTCTTCTATTTGCTGGTTTAAGTAATTAATAGACATACCAGAAGATGTTGCTACCGATGTGGATGCTACTTGCAGAATTGGAGGTACAACGTCATGTATTCTGTCTGCCAACTCGGCTAGTTCTTCTAGTGAGGCTTTCGGTTGTGATGCAATAATTGTCTGTGTACTTGTTGGTAGACGACTGGTCCATATAGTACGTAAAAACTCTTCCGGCACCCCAGGCCCAGCAAGATTCTGGAGATGTCTGACGAACTGAGAAGGTTTGCGATCACCAAGCTCTTCATGAATGAGGAGTTGTTTAACCTTCTTCTCTCTCGATGCTGACAATCGTTTAATAAGTTCAGTTTTAAGTCTGTCGTATTTGTTAGCCGTCGGTGGGTTTGTGATGACATCTTCTACTTCCGCTGCATATTGTGGTTCCAATTGGCTTATAGCGTAGTAAAACTTCGTTGAGTCTGCAGTAATGGTGGCTAGTTGAAATTGCCCCTCTAATTGTGCAAACCACAAAGCAGGTTTTTCAGGGTAGAATGGAGGTACCCTGACTCCCACACGGCAGGATTCCATGTTCTGTGCGCCTGGCTCTACGCTCATCTTGATATTCGTGAACAGTTGGAGGTCACCAGTAAAGCAAATGGTATTAAGAGGATGTATAATATTTGTAGAATGTAAACGTTTATTAATACAGTAATAATAGTAATATAATTGTAAAGAAGGAGAACAATAGAAAATATAAAAAAGGTATAATATTAAGACGATATGTGTGCCGTGGCGCCAACAACACATTCTTTTTTACATATACGCATGCGCGGCCTGCGCGCGCAACCCGTAGTCGCCGAGCGCTTGCGCGTCCTGCGCGCGCATAGGTACATCAAACAAGCTGCGTGCGCGACCGACCGTATTACATATATATATATAATATTTACGCTTGTCTGCGTGTTTTTACAAAATAAATAAAATATATAATTTTATAAGTATGCTACACTCTTTTACGCAAAAACCACAAAATAAATTTGATTAAAATTTAATATCAGATCGTTTATATCCTAAATTAGAACAAGTTATTTTATATACAATTTACGCGGGCAAAACCGCGGGATACGAATATATAAAAATTATATAAAAAATATACGTTTTCTATTTAATATGTTCTATTAATATTAATCGAAAGACCAAACGATAGGCCACTATGAAAGAAAATAAAATAGATAATGGGTATGTGAATTATAAATACATCGACATATATTCAAACAACATTACTTGCCTGCGGACCTCTTTTGCAAATTATATACTACATGGCTCACTCTTTACACCTCTACTCGTTTTGCAAATTCATATAGATCATTATTGGTTAAAATTATAGCTCTAGCTTGACGCTATCTTGCAGTAAATAATTTATGAATTATATATATATATATATATATATATATATATATATATATATATATATATATATATATATATATATATATATATATATATATATATATATATATATATAGATAAAAATATTTAAATATATACAAGTTATATATGTAAACCTACCAGAGCAGTACATTTATTAATTTTTTTTTAATGTGCAGAAATATAACCCACTACCTACGAAAGGTAAGGTCGTGTGTTAAATCATTGCACTGGCAAAGTCATTAAAATAATGTCATAAAATTTTGTTTTAAATTTTTATACAATTGTTAATATCAAAGATGATAGTCCTCCTAACTGGAAGTATTTATGTATATATTAAAAAAATGAACATCGCGTAACATACACTTACAAATAATAAAAAGAAATACGGGTGAATTGAGAACCCCTCTTTTTTAATCTTTATATTGAACAAAATTCACTGTAAGAACTTTAAAAATTACATGCAAAACAACTTCCATATAAGATTTTGATGCAAGTGTAAAATTTTGATTCGATGTTGTAGGTGAATGAATTTCCGCAATTTACTTAATAATCCGTTCGCTTATTTTATTGTTTTATGGACCTGAACTTACAACGTATAATTTCTCTGTATATTTTTTGATTAATACATTTTCAAAGAAACAGTAGCATGTTTTTGATTATAATAGCGTCCATTAGCAATATTTTATCGTGTTTATCTGAATATTGTCAGAATTTGAATAATTGTTATAATAAATATAAAGGTTATAAACACATATAGTGATAAACAGAATCTACAATGATTAAATACATATGAATAAAATAATATAAATGAATAAATATTTAGTAACTATATTAGTTTAGTATTAAAGTTAATTACCTTTGTACAAAGATGATATATACTGAAACATAATATTTTCTTTTTCTTTCAGACCTAATATATGAATATTATTAAACATAATAAAAATATATTCTTATAATAATATATTATTTTTTATTAGAACTTTCCATTTTCTTTTTACTGATATATGTAATTTATTCACAAATAATATGTTGTAAACATAATACAATTACCTTTGAATCAAAATAAATTTAATATAAATTTTGTAATACTTAAGTCAACAAGAATATAACCTTGTTATAACTTTAATAACATTTATGAAAAACATTATTGTTATGTACGCATGTCAGTCTATAGGGGAGGCTTATGTCCAGCAGTGGGCAATTAATGATTGATAAGTATGATGATTGTGACGCACTCACTGACATTTTTCAGTATTTATTTATAAATAATAGTGTAAAACATGTTATTAAAAAGATAATCCCTAATTACTCATTTAATCTTCCTTATTTAATCAGGATTTCTTCATTTTCCTCTATTAAGAAAATTCAGTGCTGCAACCTCAATGTTTAGGCCGCTTTCTTAAAAATAATATTCTATTTCAAAAAGGCTGCAACATTATATGAAACGTCATTTCTACACGGCTTAAAGGAGCTAACCAACAATATGCCAACTGTAAATAACCCAAATCTTTTCAGTTTTCTTATATTAGTTTCATTATACCACAGGATTATGGGCGACTCTGGTATTATTAAAGAACAAAGGAAAATTGCATCAGGACTCCAGCACGAAAACAATTTCGGTAAAACTCTGGGTCAGTCCGTAATTACAACGGCTATTACTGTGAACGATGAAAAATTTGATGATAATGAACTCAAAAAACTTTTTGTGAAAAATTTTAATTTATATAAAAATTTAGAGCGAGAAAGAAATAAGAATAGGACTGTTGAGATAATAAGAAAAACAAGGGGCGCTATGAATAGTACTTCTTACCGCGGAATGGAATGTCTTTCGTGTTTTGCAAATGGAACTTCGGCGTTAGATGAAAATTGTTATAGGGGATCTTCGTAAGTATTTTTCTCTAATCTTATATTTTTAGTTTATTATTTTTACTTTTATGTGCGTGTGCGTAAGAGATATATCATCATGTGGTCCTGGTATAGAATGGGCCACCCCTTTCTTTCGCGTGGGTGTCATAAGAGGCGACTAAGGGAACTTAATGGTCAAAGGATGGGTGCTAGCGACCCTCTTACAATATCACCAAAGTTTAACTGCGGTTGCTAACCAAGGTAGGTTGGCAACTATAGTTACCAAGCATAGCAACTACTGGCAAAACATCCCAATGATAAAAACAGTCTCTGAGGGAGGCCTATGTTCAGTGACGGACAGTTAATAGCTGGTATGACGATGATGTAAAGAAAATTAAAATAAGAAAATATCAAAATAAATAAACACAATACAAGATTAGAATTTTATTTTTTGTACAATTTTAATTAAATATAACGTTTTTATTTTTAGACTCCTCAAAAAAGAATGTGCAGAAACTGAAGTGTGTTTTACAGAAATTAATTTTTCTTTCATTAGAAGAGGTTGTATTGTTCCCAAAAAATTAAACAGGACGTTTGTGTGTAAATGTTATTTATGCAATGATAAGCCATGGAATGATTCTACTTATTACGATTATAATAAAATCAGTGACTGGGGATACGATAACATACGTTTTCAAAAACCACTGGCAGGAATAGATTTATTATGCAAAGTTTGTGATACTACAGGAACTAGTGAAGTATCTGATAAAAATTGTAGATTAGGTCGAGAGTAAGTACGGTTTTTTGGTTTAAACTATACATAATTGGTAAATCTTTCCCGTGAATTAGAATAAAAAACATAAGCTTATTGTCTGTCTATATGTCGAATTGTATTTAAATCCGTTTAGCTATTTACAAGTATTAGGGAGAAAATATCAAAATATTTAATAAACTTTTACACCTAATAATGCTAAACTTACCTAAATCAATACAATTATAGATTTATAATCAGAATTACCGGACAAACTTATAACTTAATAAGAAATATTATTAAAATGTTCTCATTGTCAAAGCTAGCACCGACTAAAGCAACAAATAATTCATTATTCATTTTATTCACTGTGATATTTGCGATTATTGATTATTATTAGATGATATTAGTGTTAGTGACACGCATAAAAAAGAAGATTCTGTCAAGTCCGAATTAGTTGACCAACTTTTAGGTTAAATATCTAATGAGATATATACGCAACTGCAACTCAGCATAATTAGTAAAAGTTTTGTTAATTGAGTATTGCATATAATATATTTTAGATTTAGTTTATATAATAAATATCCTATTATACATTTTTGTTTTTCTTGCAGTGCAGACTACATGGTTTGCGGACGCAATCAATTATGCTATGTAAATATTGACAATAAACTAAATTATGTATCTAGAGGGTGTACACAAATGCCAGTGTTTAATTCCATGTATTATTTATGTAACAAAACATCATGCAACAGTAAAGAATTTAAAAATCCTAAATCAAAAACTCATTTAAGAGAATTTGTATATAGTTTTTTGAATAAAAAATTGTCAAGATCTAGAAGTTATGTAGTTAACATTCAATACATAACAACGGCTATTTTACTGATTTTGAGTGTTTTTTATCTGTAGAAATATGAAACCTTATTTGTTATAAAATAATAAATACAATGTCACTTGTTTATGTCAATTTTTAAGAAGACAATGTACTAGTTTCTGTTTATTATTTGAAGTATTTAAAATGAGATTAATTTTTATTGTCGTATATATTAATACGATATCTGCTATAAAATCTGAAGAAATTGAACCTACAGAAAGTAAGAAATATTTACGTTATTTTAGAAGACAGTTGGAAGAAGTAATTGAAGATAATGTTACAGAAACAGCGACTGTTGATGATCGATATTTAGTATCATTCCTAATTAAAAATGTAAAAAAGATTTTTAATGACTTATATGACACTGACTCTACTAAAGTCACTACTATATCAAATATCGAGGCCATTAAAAATAATGTTTTAAAACTTCCTACTCGCAGCACTTTATTGTACTACGTGAATACCGCGTCAACCATATTTAATTATGATAACTCTAGTATTACGTCTTTGACCAATACAATGCCTTTAAAAGATAATTCTACTTCAACTACATTTATAAATGAAAATGAAACTTTAGCACAGTCTTCAGATGACTTTTTTGAAGTAACTGAAAAAAATGAATTGATCCATCTATCAAAAAATTTATTGTTTTTTGAAACAGATCAACAGGACTTTAATATACTGCAAAATGTGGATGCATATTCACTGAATGCATCCGGATTGGACATCCTTGATTCAAGAAGATCATGCATAGCGTGCAATAATGTTGTATCAGAGAATTGCAATGATCCTAAAAACAAATTGTATGTTTATGTAAACTTAGTGGAGTAGATATTAGTATTTTTCTTGTTAAATTATTTATATATTTATTCAGAGTGTTTATAATCTCATTTATCAAAATAATTATTACAATATTATAAAATACTTAAATTTAAACAAGCTGACGACCATATTGATGAAAAATGATGACCGTAGCCATAATAGGTGAGGCATAATAGAACATACTATGTTTTCACTGGGGGGAAAAGGATTGTAAGCAATGGAGTTTGACAGCCCCATTGCTAACAATATGCCTTATTAGGTCGACCTCTACTTGGTTCCCCCAGGAAACCATTGTGAACAATTCTTGTTGAATTCATCACGATGGGCTAACTGACCTACTTTAGCCTCTCCTATCATCCTTCACTGGTGCCCCGCCGGTATATACCGATGGCGCGAGTGGGGCTACCATTTTATTATTATCCATTAAAAAAAACCTATGATTCCACTCTATGGTGTCATGTCTACGTACCCTGTAATTTTACTGCCACTTTTTTGAAGTAGGAACACGAGTCGAACAGAGATGTCCAAACAGACTTGTACAAAGTCATCTCATTATCAATTATAATAAAATCAATAATAATTTAACAAGCGCTATAATTATTTTCAACAGAATTTCATCGACGATATGTGCACGCGACGACGACCTTTGCTATTCACTGCACACTCCATTTGGGATAATCGATCGCGGCTGTTTCAATACGAATCACAACCTAACTACATACGTGTGTTCGTGTAATCTATGCAACTACATATCAATTTCTGAAATGCCATACATATTTTCAAAGAAGCGAGATTGGATTGAGAATGTCGTTGAGCTATCACGTACAAGACATTTTAGAAAATCAGTCTTTAAGGATATGTCGTGCTTGAAATGTGAAGTCAATATGACAACTAGTACAGGAGATATACTCGACAAAGCTAACTGCCTTGAGGGCAATGTGTACGTACTTGTAAAAAGTATACATAATTTCAGTCGATGTTATATATTTTTTTATATTAATAACTAGAACACATAAATCAGTACAAAGTATCCTATGTGCTAAATTAGAATATAACCTGTCCGAGTAGCAAAGTTCATTCAAATCAGTTCAGTATTTTTTGCGTGAAAAACTAACAAACATCAATTAATTGATTCTTAGAAACTCACATTTTTTATATTAATTAACTAACTTTTTGCATGCAACTTCATACACGTGGATTTTAAAAACAGAAAAAAACCAATGATGTAAACAATTTCTAAAGGGCATATCAATATAAAATAATACCAGATTTTAAATTAGATCTTTAGAAATACAATTGTGAAAATTTCATCCAATTTGGTATAGCAGTTTTTTCGTAATGCCGCAACAAACATACCGACAGATAGAAAGACATATATACAAATAAAAAAAAAAATTAAAAAATAGTATTGGTATGATATTTTGGCTTTTATTAGTCTTATTAGAACAAAAAGGGAATATAATTATTTTTTAAATATTTTACAGATATTGCCTAGTTACGATTTTATTGTAATAGTAAGATTAATAGGATATATGATACATAAGTGCTTACATAAAACCACTCGTAAAGTAACAAAACAAAACAAAAATTGATTATTTTGTATGAAATTTAAAAGATACTTATACAATTTGAAATTAGTATGCTACATATACTGAAAATTTGATAATCCTCATCACAATAACTTTTCTTTTTATCTATTATTATATTTCTATTTCCAGCGGTACACTACCTATACATGAGTGCAAAAAAGATGAAATATGCGTTGTTAAAGCTATTAAAAGTGATGGATATATTTGGAGAGGATGTATCAAAGGCCCATTATATAACTATTGGTGGACATTTTGTGACAGCGATCTTTGTAACTATGATGCTATTGCTTCTATATACGACACTGATTGACATTGATATTGGCTTTCTAATAATATTTTTTTAAATATATTTTTATTTTATTTTTACTGATTTTTTTTTTACGGTGACATGTAAAGGTGAAACAACATTCACTTTTATTATTTTTTGTTGTTTTTTGTAATTTAGTCAAATAATAATCCAATATTTTTTTTAACTCGATATTATTATATATTTAATATACATATTATTAAAACTTGAAGATCATATTCTAATATTTATTTTATGAATGTAGTAATTGTGAATTTATTATTTGAGGCGGAGTTTGAACATTTTTATTCTTTAACTGACAAAGCGACACTAAGTACTTTATTGAAAGTTTCATGTGGGGTACAGCATTGAAATATTGACCTGGTTAAAACATAAAAAATGAGATATCAAACCTAAGTTGTTTAAAAAAAATATATTGACATCATTATGAATGTGACTTTTACAATTATTTAATTCTAGTGTGTAATTCTCCCCAAAAATTAAGAACATAATAGATGTCTTATATTACTACTACTAATGACAGAATTGTAACTATTTCTAGTTAATGACTTCATTAATTAAATATTTGGATTTTATTTATCGTCGTATTTAGATAATTTTTATTAAAAATATTTTTTTCAGTATATATCATAAAAAGTAAGTTCAAATGGGTTGCAACGAGAAATAAAATTGTATATACGAATTTAAAGTTATGCAGTCAACTGCATAGGAATACGACCGTCGCGAAAGTAGCTGGGATCACCTGAGTAAGCCCTAGAGCCTTACACAGATATAATTTAATTGAATTTTACGGTTGTAGAGTTCCCCCTTTGAAGAATTTCATCTAGTGGAAACACTCATGTCTACGCTCAAGTAAAACTCTGAACCGCTGATCTGGAATCAGCTGTGTTTATTGATATTTCTTTATACATTTATATTTTGTATTTTCTATATAATTAAAAATATATTTCCTATTATTTGAAAGAACAATGGCAACTATTATATTATTGCAGTAATTGTTGAAAATATTCCGAATGCTTTTTTTATGTTATTTAAATGGATAATAGTAACTCCCGTGTATTAATTTAGTTGAAGTCAATCTTTTGTATCTTAAGATGGAAATTGAGAGCTAGTTTCTTAACTTAAATCTTGTTTTTTTTTTTAAGTTCTCAAAATATTGTCAATAAACAATAAATTCAAACCTGACGAAAAAAAATTAAGTTAATAAGTAACACAGAAATGTTATGTTTATTCCGTTATTTTATCTAGAGATTTCAAATGAAACGGCTTGAATATTTCAAAATGCTTTTTATACGTAGCTACTCGTATCATCGCAAAGCAGGGCGAAAGCTCAAGTGGCCTCCAGTTTTCTTCCTTTATGCTTCATTCCGGTAGGAATTCTCGCTGCAGATAGCGCTGTTGATTTTGATATTGCATGGAAAATGTATGCTTTTAAAATAAATATCATACTAGATTGTACTTTTATATACAAATTTTATATGCAAACAAGCTGAATGTCCATTTGATGGAAAGACATTAAATGGACTATAGACATTACAGAAAATACTGTGGCGATTATGGAATTTACGGCCACTTTCTACCATCGTTACAGCTCGTTATCTACTGTGAATTCACCATATACTTGAGAGTCTAGATGATCGCGGTTTCAAATATGTTTTCTTCCATGAACGGCTCAGTATTAGCTCCCTGTCAAGGTTTTTCCAAGAGAATACAGCTTAAGTTTCTTTAAATAATAGTTAATAGTATTTGAAAAGAAGTTACCTTAAATATTAAAATTTTGCATGCCATTGTTTTGGCAAAACACGACTGTTCCTAACATATTATTACTACCATCTGTATACCGTATTTTTCAGCAAATAAATTATATAATTATTATTAAAAAAAGAGGTAAATAAGTTTCGTCAAGGTCAACAACGCGCGCGTAATGACTTTGGCATTGCATGCATTCATAAACTACACATATATAACCGCTTACCATCAGGCTGGCCGTATGCTCGTTTGTTACCTCAGTGATGTAAAAAAATCACTGCATTCCTTACGCAATGCTCTTCAAAATAACTAAAATGTTATGCTTCCGCACACTGCAATTTTATAACTATATCAATAACCGTTAAATCGGAACGCAGTTATGCAAACAATACTACTATGTAGCAATAACGTGAGTGGGACAAGCGTACCCATGTGAATTATCGTAAATAAGACAAAGTATATTCTTTTCCATATCAAGTATCATACATTATGCTAAATAAAAAATGCCAAAAAGTACCAAACAAAGTCACTTTCACATATTATAGGATTACATAAAAACATTATATATGCATTTATATTTTTTTAAATCATCCCAAAAGAAAATATCTGTATTGTTTTCTTTTATTATGTTGTCATAATAACAGATAATTATAATAAAAGTGTTTACTCTCCAATTATATTATTATATTACATATAGAATAGTCCAATAAGTTACTAGTAGGTCGACATTAGCGTTATACTCTGTAGGAATGTTCCATAATGACCGCATATATCTTTTTAATGAACTACTAGCCTCATTTTGTTATGCGAAAATGGTCTTCTGTGGCAGCTCCCGAAATGTATTGTTCGTCTTATAAATACCAGAGTCTTCTCTTTAAAATATATGCTAAGTGAATTTTCCCATTAAAATTAAATTATTGCATTGAGAGTTTGTGAAAGCAATTTATTGTACTCAAATATTCCGTGAAATTATTTGAATTTTCAAGCGACTCACAAAATGTGAAATCTCAATTTGTATTTAATGTAACTATGTGACAAGATTATGACAATAATTCTAAACCGCTTCGATACCTCTTTTTACAATCTTTAGGATTTACTTACTGTCCTGTCAGCCATATATTGATAGTATAATACTTAAAGCCACTGTCTCCTTTTGTAAAATAAAATCTTGCACATTTTTTAATTTTTCACTTGCTATTACCCGCGAGTTTTTCTGTACATCAAATTTCACAGTCATTCAGCCGTTGAGAGGTAACAAACAAACAAACATGCTTTCACATTTATAAAATTTTTAAGAATATTGAGGATAAGGATTTATTATTACAAAATTTACAGAAAAGACATGTTTTATTAGGATTTGAAAACCACGTAGGTTAATGCTAAGCAATTTTTACTTTTAGACACAAAAATGCGGTTTCTAAATTCAAATAAGTATTTATAATATATTTTGTATATCGAAATATCTTCACCCATTGATTTGTTTTGTCATGGCTGAAGTTGCTATGTTTTTGCGAAATAAAATATATATATTTTAATAAATACTTTCAACCTTAAACATTTCCTTATATGTAATTTACAATCATATGTAATTTAGTGGATAGTATTATTACAATACAAATCAGATGGTCATTAATCTTTAAACACAGTTAAAAAACAAATACCCAATCATCTCGTCACAGAATGTAACGTTGAAAGCGCTCCATATTTTGTAGCATCAATTTGAGTGGTCGAAACTCAAATAAAAAAAAGCACTCCTTAATAATCACATATGTACAGGCGATCATTGCTTGCCCTTACAATTTTATAATAACAGAGCTTTGACGTCTAATGGATAAAATGATAATGACTGGTATATAAAACGCAGAAGGCACGCTAGTTTGAAATGCCTCAAGGCACCGAGAGTTTCTTTCAACACATACTTCTTCTGTATATTTAATGTTCATCTAATGCGCACTATCAAAGGCGACTGAGTGAGTCTGAAAGGATTCAAGATTCGCAATCGTGTTGCAGTAAACAAGATACCATTTAGCCAAGGGCAAACTCGGTACTGTTTTGTACACGGATAAACGTGTCTTTAAAGGCTTGCTATGAGAAAATTATGGTGGAGAGGTGATTTTGTGTTTCTATAGTGTTGTGATCTATTCATATGAGCAATAAAGTAATGGTATACACTTATGTAAAATCAAGCGAATATGAACTATATTTCTATATTACATTAGTTCATTTTCTGTAGCGATATGTGTGACCTATTTTAAGATGATGGAAGTGTATCGAATTAAAAATATACTTCTGTAATATCCAAACTAGGTATACAAGTATACGATACCCGTATATTACTGTACAACATATAGGTATATATCACTACAAAACGATGCGAACGCACTATTATACAAGAAGTTTTGTAAGTTCTAGGGTATAACGATATTTTTTGCAACTACCCTGCATTATCAAAAATAAATGTTTACTTATAGATTATGCTTAGCAAAAAGTTGATTTTTAATCCAAAAAGATTAACTATCAAGCAACGCACATTTGTATATTTATTATTTATATTGTGTCGGAAAAACAATTTCAAGTTCAAATTTAAAAAATCGAGCTGTTCTGGAAGTTTGTTAATCCAATTATTTGCAACAATAAAAAAATATCGCGACTGATTTAATTCAAGACCAGGGGTAACTTTGTATAAAAGTCGTTTGCTTAGGTACATTTGTCCCATTCGTTTCTACCATGAAGTAGTTGTGTTTGCATGGCTGTGTTTCGGTTTGAAGAATGGGATATGATAGTGAATGTATAGGGTATAAAGGCATAACACCTTAGTCCTCAGGAATGTCAATGCATGTGGGCATCATAGGCGAAACAGAATACATACTCTGTTATGTACATGCATACATAAGGTGTGGCATCGCGAGATTCTAACATCAGTGCCCTTAAAAAGAAGTATAACTTTGCCTCTAGGTCCTTCAAAAGAGTTTTGGCCACAGCGAAGTCAGAGCATATTGGTAGAATTGGCAAGAGATTGGCTAGTTTACCTTCGGGATCTCGAGCTTTCTGGTCTCTTGCCAAAGCTGCACAAGGGAATTTCTGTCAGTCATCTTTTCCACCATTGCGCAGGGAGGATAACTCGTTGGCTCTGAACGCCAAAGAGAAGGCCGATCTCCTTGGATCTCTCTTTGCATCAAACTCGACGTTGGATGACGGGGAGAAACTACCGCCGACCATCCCGCGTTGTAGGAGCTCTATGCCGGATGTTAAATTCACGCTAAGATCAGTGCGTAGAGCACTTCTCTCCCTTGAAATCCATAAGTCGAGCGGGCCCGATGGCATTCCTCCAATTGTGCTTAGGACGTGCGCACCAGAGTTGGCTCCGGTTCTTACGCGTCTTTTTCGGCTCTGTTACTCATCAGGTATAGTCCCAAAGTTTTGGAAGACTGCTCTGGTGCATCCGATCCCTAAAAAAGGAGACCGCTCAGATCCAGCTAACTATAGGCCCATAGCTATCACTTCCTTATTCTCGAAAGTCATGGAATCAGTTATTAACCATCAACTGCTCCGGTACCTAGAGGATCGCCAGCTGATCTCAGACCGCCAGTACGGCTTTCGACGGGGACGCTCGGCTGGTGATCTT